GCTGCTGATCTGTTTCATGTTGCTGCTGATCTGTTTCATGTTGCTGCTGATCTGTTTCATGTTGCTGCTGATCTGTTTCATGTTGGTGTGTTCATGCGTGCACATCTGCTCACAGACTCATGTTCATGTTTGTGCTGATGTTCAATGTTTTTATGTTATGAGTGCTTAGTGTATATTTAGTTGATGTTTTTCTTAGTTCATATCTTAGATGTTATTACTGTTTTTCTTATACATTTTATTGTCGGATGTAACTGGGACCCTGTGAACATCATCTTGTTCCACCACATGTACCACATGAGGTGCGAATGACAATAAAGAAACTCTGACTCTGACTAAACAAAACTGTTTAAAAAATAATTCAAGGGTCTACAAGAAAATGAATCCCTCCACAGAATAAGGAACATTGCAGACACTCAACAAAATAAAGGCCAGAAGCTCACCAGGTATCATGCTAACAACATGCAGGGACTGACGGACAGAGCATGACATCCGTCTAAAACAGGTCTGTCTTGAAAATGAGTCCTCGTGATTCAGTGAGACTACCTGTAGACAGCGGTGCTTGAACGTTTGTGAACTCCTTATTTTCGATATTTCTGCATCTCTATGACCTAAAACATCAGATTTTCACACAAGACCTAAAAGTAGATAAAGAACCCAGTTAAATAAACGAAACTAAAATTTTATACTTGGTCATTTATTTATTGACGACAATGATCCAATATTACATATTTGTGAGTAGTAAAAGTATGCAAACCTTTGTTTTCAGTATAATAATAATAATAATAATTTATTCAATTTGTACGAACTTTACATTTTACAATCTCAAAGTGCTACAAAATAAAACATCTAGAGAGAATAAAATATGGACCGAAAAAAATTCTAGAATTGCTCCGCTCCAGGTGGCTGCATGTTGGAGCAGCTCTGTTTCATTCTGAGATTTTGCTTTTGGAAACTTTAATTCCTCTTTTTCTGGATGTAAATCACATTTGTTGGATGATTGTTTCCTCTGGTATCTGATGATGAGCAGCTGGAAGGATTTTTACTGAAACTTTTTTAGTTTTGGACATTTGTTATGATGCGTAACCATGGCAACAAGGCAGTTTTCTACAACCAACAGCTGATTAACATCTCAAAAGCTCAAATAATATCTCAACTACAGCCCCAAATCTCAAATGAGTTGAAAAGGATGTTCTGTGGATGCATTCTCATCTACCTGCCAGCTGTGCTCGAGTGCCTGACCACTGAGATCCTGGAACTAGCAGGAAACACGGCTCATGACAGCAGAAGGACAGGATCATCCCTCAGCACCTACAGTTGGCTGTCCGCAGCGACGAGGAGCTCGGCAGACTGCTGGGAGGCGTGGCCATCTCTCTGGGTGGAGTTCTGCTCTGCATTTGGGCGGTCCTACAGCCCTGGGGAACCTAGAGGCCAGCCGAGTCTGGGTGGACAGATCGGACGGCATCTGCAGCCAGTTTCTTGGGATCCACTGTGGGATGGACCTTTACAAGAGATCCTTCCTGTCTACAGCCATCAGCATCTATAACATCTCTTAATGAAATGAGGATAACGAGTTACAACAACAACAAATTTCCCTTTGGGATTAATAAAGTATTTTTGAATTGAAAAGGACTAAGAAAATAAAAACAACAAAATTCAAAGTATCTTTAAACACTATAAAATCTCAAATAAAAAGGTCTTCAGTCCTATCTTAAAACTTTCTGTGGTCTGGAGTATCCTTAGATGGTCGGGGACGGTGTTCCACAGACGAGCAGCAGAGCAAAAGGCCCTGTCGTCCATGGTGTCACCCATGGTGTCGTCCATGGTGTCGCCCATGGTGTCGTCCATGGTGCCGCTCATGGTGCCGCCCATGGTGTCACCCATGGTGTCGCCCATGGTGCCGTCCATGGTGTCACCCATGGTGTCGTCCATGGTGTCGTCCATGGTGCCGCTCATGGTGCCGCCCATGGTGTCGTCCATGGTGCCGCCCATGGTGCCGCCCATGGTGTCGTCCATGGTGCCGCTCATGGTGCCGCCCATGGTGCCACCCATGGTGCCGTCCATGGTGTCAC